GTGTGAAGATATGGCTGGGAAATAGGGAAAGAAAAACTCCTTTAATACGGTATTGCAACAAGGAATCAATTTAGATAAGTGGGTGTGAGATAGTTTTCTCTTTTGGAATGAATATGTTTGCAAATAATTTATATTTGAGTTTATTGACTTAGGGAAGGTCTGTAATGATATGAATGTAAGTTAAATTGTGTGTTTTGCTTCATTTGTTGTTTTGTTTTTCATTTTTTATTTTTTTTTTAGTTTTCTTTTGGTTAAGATAGATAGTTAATTTATTAATTAATATGTGTTATGTGTTTTTGAATGAAACTAAATAAACTTTTAAAATTAAAAAAAATTAAAAAAACACCAAACATGTAGATCAGTAAAGTGAAGGCTGGAAAGGTAGAGGATACAAATGAACTGAAAGAACTGCAAGCTGCTCACACTGCTCTGTCTGAAAGTGAGAAATAAAATAAAGATTTCCAGTCCATTAGTTCCACTTTGGAAATAAGATCAGTTAATTTACAACTCCAAGATCTGGAAAGAAAATAGGCACACACAAATTTCAAAAACATCAAATTCACAATGGAAAAGATGTTTTGGGAGATGGAAATGGCTTGCAACCTGTTTTCCTGGCTATGCAGGGAGATTTTTTGCAAGAAAGACAAACTACTTAATTTTTTTTGTTTCTTCTTAAAAATATCTATGGGCCTTTGCAGACTGCTAGAAATAGTGCAAATTGAGTCCACCTTAAGGGTTAGGGTTAGGGAATCATGGGAACTGTATTTTATTATGGCACCAGAGCTCTCTGACAGAGAAGGCTCAATGTCTCAGAAAAAAACAACAGTCCCCATGATTCCCTAGCACTCACCCCAACCCTTAAAGTGGAGTCAATTTGCACTATTTCTGGCAGTCTGCAAAGGACCTAAGAGTTAAACTACAAACTACTTTAAATATGCAGAATGCAGTTTAAGATCTTTTTATTCTTTTACTGTAAGGTAAGTGTATATAGCCCTAATCTGGATTCAGGGGGTGAGGTTGAAGCAAATAAAATTTGAGCTTTACTTAAAATTATTTTAAAACTTGGTTCCCTCTGTGTGGGTTAAAAATGGGGGGGGGTTTGCTGACACACAATGGAAATAAAGAGACCAAACACAAGAATTTGAGTTGAATAAGGGCCACATTATTGACCTAGGAAATTATTCAACTAATTTAAACTCTGTGATAAGCAATAGGGGGAACTACCTGGTGAGGGGGCAACTGAGGCAATAGGTCTCCACCTGACAGCCTCCCAGCTCCCCCAGGGCAAATACCTGAGCCCCAAGGAAAACCCAATACCTGGGTTACTCCTCATTCAGCCTTAATGCAAAGCAAACCCAGGGAATCCCTTCTCCAAGTTGCATGAATTAATGTGAGGTCACAGTTTCTGGGCCAGCCCTTCCCCACCCCCTGGTCCCATGACCTAAAGAGGCAGTTCCAGAGACCATCCCTTGACCAAAATG